GTTACATCAACGTCAAGAAAGTACTGTGTACATCTTTTTCTCTTTTTTATCTCTCACACACACAATATATATATATATATATATATATATTGTGTGTGTGTTTATATATATATTGTGTGTGTGTTTCCATTTTGCATGTTTGCGCTTGTAAATATACGTTTTCATAGTTCATCATTCATGTATCTTCTTGTAGTCAGTTTTGGAATTAAAACATTTTGTTTTCCATATGTAAATTCACTTGTAATAATTGTACATTTTTCTACCAGAAGTTCTGAATTGTTCTGAAAGTCTGTGGTTTTATGCAAGATAGAATGAATGGATAAGCAAAAAATATACCTTTTTGTTCAGAGTAGATTGACAAGATATTTAACACAGAGTATTACTAATGAAGCAATATTATTTTTTTCCCTCTCCCAGTATGAAGTTTTTTTTTTTTTTTTTTTTTTTTTTGTTTTGTTAAACTAGAAATTTTGCATTTTTATCATTTTTATTTTCTTATTTCGTTTCTTTTGTTCTTTAAGTGATTTTTTTTTTTTTTTTAATTTTGAAGTACAATGGACAAAATTCTTGACCACTAAGGTCTCTCTTGTTCATGTTATCATTCTACTTTTGTATTTCACTTTTAGCAGCTTTATGCGCAAAACGTTTTATTGGATTTACTAAAATTCCAATTTACATTTTTCCAGCTTTAGCAATGAGGTAATTTGATACTTTTTATAGTTTCTATTCTGCATTAGGTTAGTCTTCCTCACAACATGGTGTAACTATTTTACCCAGGAACTACAGTATCAAGTGTACTTTTTAGCAATAGCTTTTAAACATTCCTCTTCTTTGCAAATATTTTAAAATTTTGCAGTTCAATGCGCAAAATTCTTGTCCACTAAGGTCTCTCTTCTTCGTATTATCATTCTACTTTTGTATTTCACTTTTAGCAGCTTTATACGCAATAAGTGTTATTCGATTTACGAAAATTTCCAATTTACATTTTTACAGATTTAGCAATGAAGTAATTTGATACTAATTTGAGTAATTTGAGTAATTCCTATTCCACATTAGGTTAGTCTTCCTCACAACATGGTGTAACTATTTTACTCAGGAACTGCAGTATCAAGTGTCCTTTTTAGCAATAGGTTCTTCTTTGCAATTAAATAAAACATATACCTATTTAGTTTAATAAACTACAGATGCATAATGATTTTATGTATGGCAGGTAAATGCAACCTATGCAGAGAGTGTAAAATCAGTTTGTTTTTAAAGAGAAAAATTATCTTTTCAGTTCTTTCACTGAAGTTTTCTCTTTAAGATGTGTAACATTAATCATTACTTTAAATATACTGCCAACTTTAGTTATCACTAAGTTTTTAATTACATTTAAGTGTATATTCTTATATCTGTAAAAATATAAGCAAAAAATCCGGTTTAAAAATAATCTATGTCTTCTAAATATATGCCAATATTCAAGTTTCAGTTTTGTTACAAAACTTCGCACAAACGTATTAAGTTATATTATTATTTTTTCTTTTTAAAGATAAGTTGTATATAATTAAAGCTCTCTCTCTCTTTGGGGCAGATTCAGCACCTGCCACAACTTTTCTAATGTATGTATAATTAAGTCCATTAACTATCCAGCACGCGCACTTGGCAATTTTACATGAGCACACACTCCTCGTACTTTTTTACGACATCCGTTATTTTACCGTTTCTGGCACGAAAAACGACAGAAATGAGTGAATATTGATAATAAATTTGTTAAGAAATAAAATATTATTATTACAAAATGTAAATGATATCACATTCAAATATAAGTAATTTTTTTTAAGTTCTTATGTTAGTGAGATGGAAATGCAGTGATATATTTCATTGTAGAAAATTTTTAATTTATTATTTAATAATTATGTTTTAAAATCTAAGCTAATTTTAATATTCATCAAAGGCAAGTATAGACAAATAAAAAAAGAAAACATCTTAGTAGGGAAAAAAATAAGTTTAGCACTACTTGTACAAGGAAATTTACTTGTTACTGGTTACAAAAACTCCTTTTAACTTTAATATTTTTATTTATTTCTAAAAAACAGAGATAAAAGAAAATAAGGAATGGAAATCGCTATTGTTCTCCCATCCAAAGGTTTCCTTTTCTTTATCAGATAATTCTTGAAGAATGCAGCAAAATTAACTGGTTAAAATATTTTTTGCCATGAAAATCGATATAAAATTTAGAGCCAAATGTATTCAAATTAAAAAAATACACAGCAATTAATAACCCAAAAATTACAAAATATTTGAGAAAAAAAAATATTTTCCTAATTTTCACCCATGATCACGCGCGTATCCTAACTTTTACAAAAAAGCTGCCAGGTAGCACAAAAGCCCAACAAAAAAAAAAAAAAAAAGGGGGGGGGGGTAGAAAGGAGGAATAGAAATGACATTCAGACGTCTCAGCCTCGATATGCGAAAAATGTGCATTAAAAACTGAATTTGTCATAAATTTTGTGCATGTGTGTGTGCTGGAAGGTTAATATTATAAAGGAATTATTTAACTCTGAAATTTACTTGGATGTCACAAATTCTGGGGCTTGCTTTTACAATTCTGAACTGAAATTCAGAATGATATGCAGCAGTATAATTTATTTGCATTCAGTTCAAAGTCATACTTTTACATCTGTTCTGTATGAAAAATTTTCGAAGTGAATCTTCTAAATTTTCATTTTGACCTCTTAAATTCTGTATGCTTAGTTTTTAAATTTTTCTAGACCATTATTAAGTAATGAATTCTAAAAGGTAACGTTTTGACAAAATATTACAATTATCTGGAGATTCTTTGCCAAAGAGTTCATTATCTCTAAGTAATATTCCAATAATGTATCAGCTGTCTTTTTTGTTTGTCATTTCAGAATCACAAGAATAAATATTTCAGGTTAATGAAATTACAAGCAATATAGTACATAATTTCTTGGCATGGTTTTTCAAAATAAAACTGGTATGCTTATATGTTATAATTTAATTTTTTGCCATTTAATCTATACCCTAGCAAAAGATATAGTATTTTGATTATTAAGGAGCTGAGACTAGGAATAATGTGTTTTCTTATTGTTAAAACATAATTATTGCCTATATCTGATAAGTCTGTTACTCTCTGCACTTTACTTAGTTTAAAATAATAACCCTTGTATACAATGTCTGTTAAATAAATGTCTAATTATTGATTTAAAAGTAAGCAAATTATGGATCAACATATAAAGTGGGAATTGAATCTCTATCCTTCACAAATCCTTTGCTTATGTTATAATAATTACCATAAAAGTAGGCTTCGTAATGTTACTTGATTGGCCTTATTTGCTAGAAATTAACTATAGTTTAAAAATTATTAATACTGGAAACAGCACTATGATGAGAAAGTCATGTTATGGATGCATGCTTTTTAATTTTTAACTCTGGTACAAATATGTGTTTGTATTGTAAAAGTAGACATAACTGTTTCATAATTTCTTGAATATTTACTTGCTGTAGAGTGCTTTGCTTGATAAATGTAAATACAGTATTTGTTGCATGACATTCCTCAGTGTTTATAATCGTTAAGTTTTTAGAATAGTTTGTCACCCATATATGTTATTTAAAACAAATGCTTTACTTCATATTCCCTTTTCTACCATAATTGTCAGTAATTTTAATGTGATGCTTATGAGAAATATATGAATAAATTTCATTTAACTATCAAGCAATGTAAATAAAATAATTATTTTTATTTCTAGCTATATAATGTAATCCTGGAACAAATTCTAGCATGAAAATCTTGATAATTTACAAGCTTTATATTAATCCGATTTTGATAAAATAATGAAAGCACAAATTTGAAAATATTAAGAGATTTTGGTAGAAATTCTCAGTGACTAGCAATATATTCTATTTGACCATTTTGATATCTGTATGAGTATTAAAACTATAAAATGGAAAAAAATGTATATGAAATGTACATGAAATTGTTGCATACACATTTAAGTACACGAAAGTGGAAGGGAAAAAAGCTCATACTTTTGCATGAGGAAGAAGTTGGGTATTTTTTTACTGTAAGCATTGCTTAATATTGCTGACTAATTTGGATAGCAATTGAAATCTTGTAGCCTTTCATTTTGCTATTAACAGACTACTAAAATTTTTACAATTTGTTATTATATTATGAACTCTTTTAAAAGAATAAGTATATCTGAAATTTTTCAAGTCTGTAGATATGGTGTTTTGCTGTACGATATCAAATTACTAGGATTAGGATTTTATTTTAAGCAAAATGTAAATGATCACTGCTACTGAATATGTTTTGCTGATTTGCCCATAGATCATTAAATTAGAGAGCACATTTTAATATGAGCATAAAAAAAATGACTGTAACTTTTATCATTTTAAAGCTACTGGGGGTGTGGGGGGAAGCTTATCATGTCATATGAAACAAATTTTCAAAATAGGGACATTTGTTAAAAGATTGAATATTTTCTAAATGGGATATGTACATATATTGATAGTTTTATTATAATGCTAATATTGTTAGTAAACATTTTTAAATCAAAATTTTATTTCCATCAAGTAATAGAATTTTTTTCCTCCTAGAATTCAATGTGTCTCATAGAAATACTTATTTAAATTTTGAAAGAAATGCATATTTAAATGAATTTCAGGAGCTGTCTTAGTGAATTGTGTTCATAATCACATTAAATGCTCATAACCAACCTCATAAAACAATAAATGCTCATAACATAATAAATAATGAAGACCATTCAACATTCATAGTCACAATAAATGTTGAAAAGAGTTCTTTCTCTACTGAAAATATTTCATGTAACAAAACTTTTCACTTCGCCCTATCTATTCTATTAATACTGTATTTAAATTACTGCATTTGAGTGCGACTGTTCATTGATGTGAAAACTTGCATGTACATAACATGTGTTTGTGTACATTGTACATTATATGTATATATTTGATTTTATATATGTATTTGATTTTTATAGACCTTTGAGAGAAAGTGACATATTGTCACCAGAACAAGGAAGATCTGTTGCAAAAGAAATTGGAGCTCCATATTATGAAACTAGTGTATTGACTCATTTTGGTGTAAATGAGGTTTTTGAAAATGTTATTCGTGCAGCATTGCTTGCTAGAAGACAACAGCGTTTCTGGATGACAAATCTGAAGCATGTGCAACGTCCCCTGTTGCAAGTAAGTATAATTGTCATTTATGTAGGTAATGTCAGATTACAAGAAGTTATATAAAGCTGCAAAAATACAATATATCAATATTTGTAATATTTTAAGATATTGAATATACTTATGTGACTTAAGGAGAAGAAGATAATAAGTGCTCTGTTAATGGTAAGGCTAATGATTCTATATGTCTTATATGCATGTGTACTTGCTGTATGAGGATCTATATGATTATCTGTTGTTAAAACTCAGTATTCAAATCTGTTTTCCAGTAATGTTTAAAACTTACATAGAAAAATTTGAAACATTTCTGAATTAACTGATGTGTTTATGTATAGTTTTATAATTTGAGCATTTTAATGCCTTATTTCAGGAAAAATAACATTTTAAGAAATTAAGTTTATTGGACTTATTGTTTTGCTTTCAAAATTTTGTTTCATTTTTTCAATACACAAGATAGTTTTTCAGTTTTGAATAAATATTAAAAGTATCATTTCTTATTCTTACAAAAAAATAATTCAAAGAAAGTTTTGTGATAAAAATTGTTTGGTGACAACCAGCTTGATGAGCACTTCAGAAGATTACCTTATTTTGCTTCTTATGCTTTCTAAGGCAATCAAAATCAATTGAAATTATCATCTTAAAGCTGTTTCATTGTACCAAGTGAAAGAAAATAATCAAATGTGTGATTTTGTTATTTTCTGATTGTAAATTCATTTTTGGTAACATTCAGAGCCTAATATTTTATAAAAATTAAATAAGGAACATAAAAGAGATCACAAAAAATAAAGTGGTAGATTGAATAATATTCCTATATTGTAAATAAAATTGTTATTATAATGTGTTACTTGAAGTAACTGAAGAATAAAATTGTGAGGCAGTAAAGAACAAATGTAGAGGCATCATAGAAAGAAAAGAACATGTATGAACTATGAAAAGTGTGATTATATTGTTTTACATTTATTTAGTAAATTATCTAGGAATGCATGTATTTTTAAACATTTTAATAGCAATCCCATATGTTTAATGAATAGGTTCCATTCTGTCCACCTGAACCCAGGCCTCCAGAAGTCATTGTGCCACCTCCACAGTTTGAAGATGATATGTTATCTTTACTTAATAGCCAAACTTACACAGATGTTATTTTTCTCACTGGAAAAGTGGGTTTTGCCGCCCATAAATCAGTTTTGTCCGCTGTTTGCAACTCTCTTTACAAGTTGTTCACCCTTGATCTGTCTTCAGATGCAACTCTTGGGGGACGAAGTGCCAGTGATTCCAGTGTAGTAAGTGATCATCTCTCAATAACATGATACCTTATATAGTAATGATAGCCACAAATTTTGTTCATAGAAACATCATTTTTCTGCTAACAAATGAGAAATAAATTTTGATAATTTTTTCAAATTAGTTCTCTATCCTCCCTTTTTTTTAATTGAGTTTTTATTTTTATGCAATTGTATATTCTTAAGTTAGTGGAATGTGTTTATATGTTCACATATAACTGATTAAGATAAAAATGAATGATTAAGTATGATAAAATGATTTTAATTGAAGTAAATTGCATTGTACATAAATATTACCATATATACAGTAAGTAAATTGTATACAATAGTTAATGTTTCTTAATTGTGTGATGCAACAAATCAAAAGAATAAGATATATAGTAAAAGATGAAGTGGAGAAGTTTTACAAAAGTAAGAATGGATAAATTAAGAAAAGTGGAAATGGCAAATTAGCCAGTTATGATATTATCAGGTGAGAAGGATCGTGACAAATTGATTCAAAATGGAGAATCAAGTTTTATGCATTTTGAATAGTCTTTCCTTCTCATTTCTCATCTTTGATTTAATTTCTTTCATCTCATGTATGACATATTGAATTCAATTAGAATAATCCATGTTGAATTTTAATAAATACTACTTCAAAAAGAAAGGCTTATATCATCTCTCTATTATCTGTTTTGATTCTAGGGGGAGAAACGTCATCTATCTTGAAAATTTTACATATTAAGCTTTTGCAGATTCTTTACCTCAGCATAATATTATTGGCAATTTAAATACAGTTGAAGCAAACAACTTATCTCTCTTGTTCTTATTTATGAAGGTTTAGTCAGATGTTTTTCCATCTTTTTAAAAATATTTAATTATTTGTTTTTATTTTAATACAATTTTCATTATTTAGTTATTCAATTGTCTGTTGAATAACTAATATAATATTCAGTTGTTTTGTATTTTCATTTGAGATTTATTAGTCATTGTTTAGCTTACTGATCTATAACATTATTTCAGATTTTATTCTTTTTTTCAACTCTCTGTTCCCTGCCTTTAAATGAACACCAGCTTATAGCAAATTTTGTGACCTTCATTAAGCCTCATCTACACAAGAAGACATTTCTCTGAACAAATCTCCCTCACAAACATGAATAACAGCATTTTGTCTGACATGAAGATTTTGTACCTATGTTCCTCCGAGCTACTAAGCCAGTCAGAGTAGATGAAGCATATGACTGATTTGCATCCAATATTAAATTTCCTATTCATTTCAAAACTTTTGAGTGAACTCTTAAATAATTCAGAATGGTTCATCAGCTAATTTTAGATAACAGAAATGCAGTGGCTTTCAAAAGGGGTGGCTCAATTGAGTCTGATGTACCTCCTCTTGATAGCATTACATCAGATTCGATTGCATTCCTCTTCCTGTGTAATTTCCCCCCCTTTTTTTTTTTTAGATTTTATTATTTCACATTTTTTTTACTCTTCTGACTTTCGGTTAACTTTCAGTTCTGACTTCTGACTTACATATTTATGGGGAATTTTGAAATTTACTGGTGTTGATATTTCACTTATTTGTTACTTTATTTTTGTAGAATTGGTTCTAAATTTGTTACTTTTTGAATATATATATAATAAATGCAATCAAAAGCCAGAATACTGTTAATGCACAATACCCAGATAGGATAGATCGTCGATCCATATTAAAGAGGAAGATTCTGATTGTTTAGTATCTAAACATTATATTTTATGCTATATATGAAGTAATAGCATAGGCAGTTGAGGCAGTTTTAATTTCATTTTTATTTTCCAGTTGACATTTGTGGCCACAATTTACTTGGCACTCTAATTGTACCTATTCAAGAACATTTACATTTTTGATATAATAGCGATAGCAAGCAGGACAGTGAAATTACATCCTAGCAGAGTAGAGAGCGAAGCCGAAGTCCGTAGTTATCCGATATGGAAGCATACAAAGAGGAAAGGTTTTGGTTTGAGTTTAAAAGTTTCGGTTCTCAATTATTATGTCAATCAGCGGTGCACAGGCCATGCAGAATGGAATGATCTAGAAATGACTCAATACCGAGAAGTTATGATGATTTTTAGTACAGAGAGGGAGAATTAAAGAGATACCGTTAGTTTGAATTATAATTTTAATTCGCAATTTTTTTTATCTTACATATATATATATACACACAATCATTTCATGAAAGGAGAAAAGAAATCAATTACTTCATATATAGCATAAAATATAATGCTTATTGCTGAATTGTTGATAAGTAGAGTCATAATAAATCATCTTTTTAAGTACATAGAAAAAAAACAAATTTGATTGCTTTATAAATAATGCAAAAAATCTAATTATATTAATATAATCAATATAAAGTTACCATGTAAATAATTAATCGGTATAAAATTTTATGTATTGAAACTTCTGTCAAAGAACTTTGATTAGTATCTGAGTGTTGTTTTACATTTGTGATATTTACTGATTTACAAAAGAATTAATGGAAAAGTAAGGTCTGTGCTATCATATAATCAAAAAATTATGGGATAAAAGTTACAGTTAAAAATATTCTGTACATCACCTCCATATCATTTAACATCTTTTCTATATGCAAGTGATTTCTGCTGAGATTTTAGGTTCCTGCAGCCACAAATATATTGCTTCCTTTTTGTAGCCATGTACATACCTAAATTACTTTCTGCTTGACGAGCTCATATATTACCACATTTAAGTTTTCCCTTTTACTTCCGGAGCTGATTTTAAATGCATGTTTTTTAACCTATGATGACAATTAATGAGTTTTCCTGTACACTGAATAGTTAGTCTAAACTGATGTTGATAGATAAGCCTCAACCTCTAATCTAAGGTTGTGACCTTCTTCCTTCCATCTACAATTTGCCCTTGGTTTCCTTGCTTATATATTGAGAACACTGGCCTTACTTTTTGATTTACGTATATTGTGTAAATGTATTATTTTTTAAAAGTGTATTCTTCTTATTAGGTTAGTTCATCAGATAGTTCTGTGGGAAATTTTAATACAGACACTGAACAGTTATTGACAGAGAGCCCACATTCTGTAATCACCTGTGCCTCTTTCTGTTTATCTCGAAGTCACCATAATGCAAACCAGAACAGTACTGGTGAATCTCACCATCACGGTGCTGTGCGTAGACGTTCTAGCTGCCAGATTCATCCAGAATCTGCAGCTCATGCATCTGCTTGTGTAACTACAGGAATTCGAAGAATCCTTGATCATCGAGCATTTCAGTGCATAAGTATTGAACGATGCGAAGGGCTTGATCATCGGGGAAGGGTCACATCTTCTATTCAAACCATTGTTACTTTAAGTAAGATTATAACTCCAGGAGCCATGCAGAGTTGTCTTAGGTAAGAATAATGATTGGTGTCAGTTTCTTATGTATGAGATTTCACGGAATTCTTTTTGTGTATCCTTTTGTTTCGGAAATAAGTACTATTGTTCACATACTTTATGCTTAGCTTTTTTAAGCACTTATAAAATGCATAGAGAATTGAAAAGAATATGAAAAATATTGTTGTATTACATTTACATATATTATATACATTCTGTTTGTACACTTTTACACACTAATTAGGTTCCCGAAAAATCTATGGAAAGAAATATGTATAAATAAATAAAAAGTTACTTGTAAAAAAGTAGCAGTTAATTCCAAGTTGAGTGAACTTACACAAGTAATAAATTATATTCAAGTAAATCGTATTGAATCTACTGTACAGTTAGCTGGATTAGTCAAAATCATGATCAGACTAATGAAAGCCATTTTAATTTTAATTAATAAATCAAATGTCTAAGTTTCCAGTAAAATTTAATAAATTTATGTGATGCATACACAATTTAATTACCAATGAATGAATAAACAAATGCTTTGTTTCAGATTAGGTATTTAGATTTATTTTTTGAAGTAGTTTGTGTTTCCTACATATTAAATATTTTTAGTTTCTTCCATGAAATACTGAATGCTTCTAACTTTATCATAAGACCTAATGTTATTTAACTCAGTGCAGTATATTGAGAAAATTTTCCCAAATTAGTGTTCATTTATATTTTAATGTATTTGAAAAATATGATCATGAAAGCATTGCTACAAATTCAAGTTTTGGAGCACTTTTTTAATAATATTTTTCATGAATTAAGCTTCTACTTTTTTTGACACTGAACCATGTTTGGTTACAATAAATTCTGTTAATTCCTCCCCAAACCTCCTTTACAAATTAAGAGAGGTACTAGTACTCATCCAGATGATCAATAATTGCCATAGAACATAGGGTCGCATTTCACTCTGAGAAGCAGAAAAGAGGAATATTAGAATTTCAACCTGAACTTACAACAGTGTTGGGAGAGCGAATGAATGGGATCAAAAGTTGCACAATCAGTTTAGTGGAAAACTCACAGAGAGTGCACAAAATGGATAAAACTGAAACCTTGACCTTCGAGTGTTAATTCGAGATAAGGCTTTGATGGCAAACATTCAAATGCACATCTTTGTTTGGCAAGGTCCGAATCTTGCAAACGACTGCAACAAGTTAATTATCTAATCAAGAGCTGAATATTATCAACTCTAACTTCTGCTGTATGCTGAGATTAGCATAAAAGGTATGCTGTGTTTCGGCTGTCAGAACTTCATACTCCATAGAAGGGCACTTCAAGTAGAATGAGCGCAGCACAGTAAGTCCAGGAGGACAGGATGAAAGATTTCGAAGGGAAGCAGATTTCGACTGCTACCTTGATACTTGATATCATGGTAGCAGTTTTCCTCCTAATAATTTAGGCAATTTACTTGTTGCAATCATTTGCGAGGTTGAGACCTTCCCAATCAAAGATGTGCATTTGAGTGTTTGCCATCAAAGTCTCAGCTCGAATTAATACTCGAATGACAGATTTTTGGTTTTATCCGTTTTATGTATTCACTGTGAGTTTTTCACTAAACTGATTATGCAACTTTTGGTCTCATTCATTCGCTCTCCCAACACTGTTGTATGTTCAGGTCGAATTCTAATATTCTTCTTTTCTGCCTCTCAGAGTGGAATGCGACCCTACGTTCTATGGTAATTACTACTCATCTAGATGAGTACTATCACCCCTCTTAATTTGGAAAAACATTTTAGAATCTAGTATGTAAATAATAATTTAAAAAAAAACTTTTAATAGCTGTTAATAAATAAACTGCTAGTTTTTCTTTGTGAATTTAATATTTTACTGGCATAAGCAATTTCAGTATTTTATTTACATTGGTTATGTAAACAACAATGTTTGAAAGATACGAATTTTAAAATTATGAAGCCAATAATGTTTTGATATTGGTATTAAAATAAACATGCATTTTCCTTCATAAATTTATGAAGTTATGTTCATTTCAGCAAGATACCAAAGAGGATAATTTATATTATTACTATAAAATATAATGTAAGTTCAGAATAGTTGTAGCTTCTTTTATCATTGACAGAAATAAATAATTCTCATTCAAATTGATTATATTACTATTGGGATCGCTTTTGTTTTTAAGAAATAAGAAGTTCGTCTAAATTATCAAAACAAATCCTCAAGGGAGATTGTACTTTAAGGAGATATATATGATAACTTTCTTTAATTAAGATGTTTGTTTATAGCTTTTCTTTAAAATACTTAATTTTTTGGGAATTGATAGTGCAAGAAAAATGTTAATTTGATTTTTTACTTATGTGGCTGGCATATCAAGTGAAGGGTTCAGTATTTATGTGCATTTCTAAACATATTCCAGGGAGACGTGAGTTCAATTACTACCATGCATTAAAATGTAAAAACTACTTCACAAATGTGTAAATATTCATTATTTGTATTTCTAAGTTTAGGAGATTGGGAATGCAGTTTCAGTTTAAGACTAAAAAAACTACACTTGGGGAGAGAGGCGGAAGCTACCCTAAAAGTGCAAAAGAAAATTTAATTGTTGAACATCTGTTGAGTAACACATACTAGAAAGGTATTTTAACAGAAAAGTTTGTCACTAGAAATAATTGCCCCCACCCAAAAAAAAAAAAAAAAAAAAAAATTAAAGATTTTAATGGATAAAAATGTATAAAATTTTATGTATGGTAATTTTTTTTTTTTTTTTTACTTTTAATTTAGTGCCAGAATAAATTGATTTTGCCGAAATCTTTGCAAGCTAATTGATTATTATGGTTATGTCACTTTTCTTTAATGTTTTCATACTACTATCGAATTTTGACACTTGGACTTTTCATTGACAAACTCTACCGAGAATTACCATTTTTAATGTTATTTTTCATAATGCATCAAATTGGAAGCAAAATATAAAAACTAAGAACTATATGGCATGCTGATTTTGTCTTATAGCTACATGCATGTGTAGAATGGTTATCTTTTCATAATCGTGAAAATAAGGGACTAGCTATAATGAAAATAAGGGGCATAGTTTTTCTCTTTTGAATCAATATACAATAGATTCTAATTTGATAACTGTTGTGAAAGTGACATAGTTGACAATTGAGGAAAAATTTCAAAGAAAAGAATTATATGAAGCTTTTTTTCTTGGTGATTGGAGGCTTTAATTTTAATAAAAACTGATGCTTAGGATGATATTTCAACACATCCATGTAATTTGGCCTTTTTTTTTTTTTTTTGTGCCAGTATATTCCTCATAATGAACGTCGAGTTTCTTTGATCAAAGACACATTGGTCAAAGTAAATCCACATTGTACTTTGTTATAAAAGTTAATGGTGACCAGCCTACAATATTTATGGGAATGTTGTTGATGTTACCAAAAATATTACCAAATTTAAAGATACCATCACATCCCTTAACTGTTCATGTCATTTGGTTCAAATTTGCTCTGCTGTCAGTATTGCTAAATGATGCTCAATTAGCATTTACAGATTTTGTCATGAACTTTAGAAAGTACTATATGTACTATTGTTACTCCATATTTGCAATTTCATTTCCCTGCGACTAAAAATGTCTCAAGAGGAAAATATGCCATTTAGATCCCAAATGTGTGCCAAGTGATAATAAGTTAAAATATAGCAAAATATTGAATGCAATAATTCATATACATCCAGTATTATTGTCTTCTCATATTTCCACGATAAGCAGAGTTGCATTTATTTAAAGACTAATGCCCATGTCAGATCTTAGGGCTAAGATCAATGTAAACAGATCAGAATCAGTGAAAATTAGCATTCAAAACAAGAACACATTTCAAATCGTTACTATTACTGTTGCTTATATTATTTTTGTATATCCATAGAAGCCGGTGGGAAACAGAAGATTAATGTCTCATACTTAGTTTTTTTTCTTTTATTATTATTTAGCAATTTATTTTTTATGGATGATTTAATAATGTTTATGTGTTGCAGATAATGTACAACTAAATTACATACTTTTGTGGATAAAAACAATTCCTAAATACTGTCCTAAATCCTCTGCCACTGCTCTCATCCCACACATTTTCTTTTCTGTTTTGTTAATTTTTAAATCTGTCTGGAATAAAGTTAGTTTTTTTTTTTAGACAAGCCCTAGTTAATCCACAAGCCAGTTAATTTTTCTGTTGTTAATTGAGAATTGACTATACTTGCTCTAAATATTAATGATTTTAATCCATAAAAAAGATATGGAAGTCTAAAAGGATTAAAAATATATTTCTTGTAGGAGAACTGGTCATTATGCTAATGTTAAAAGAACAGTGATAAACATAATGCATTTATGCTGAAGTGATGAAATAGCAATAAAGATCCTAGTGTGGTCCATCATTTTTGTAGAACACTGTTGAATGTGAACAAATATTTGAAGAATATCAGTAATTCAGTCCCTGTAGGTTTTCTTTTTCAAGTTAGGTATATTATGAAAGTAGGTCACTTCTTAGGAAAATTCCATTAGAACAGATGTTAAGGTATTTGGTACACTATTTCCTATATAATTATAAAATTATTATTTACTTTTTTTCCAACTGATCTGTGTGTTTTTTAATTCATTTTTGTTTGTGTTTGTATATTAATTAATAACTTACTAAACTAATAATATGTGTGTCAATAACTGTACATAATGTTTTGAAAAAAATCTAGATTTCTTTACACTGGAGGCTTAGATCATAAGATGTGTATAAATATGACTGAGCTGTTAGATGCAGCCGAACTTATGGACATACCAGAACTTCAGGTTAGTACTTAATTCCTCCATGGTGAGTTGGTTACTAAAAATTTTTTATGCATTATTTTTGCTTTTGTTATATGAAAGAAAATTGTCATTCAGACTTTTGACCGGGAGTTGTGCTCTCCTGTGCAGCTACTTATCGGCAGTGGGCAACACTTGCAGAAGGAGCTAAGTTCTGAGCTGCATCAGAAGTTTGCGCAGAAAGTTAGAAATAGAATGCGAGAGGTCTGTTTGCACCAGGGGCTATTTTCAGGTAAAAATAGATAAATTTTTAGTTTTCTTTAATATTTAATCGTTTAGTGCTTATTATTTGTTTCATTATAAATAATTCTAAGGATTTCTTTGTTTTTAAAACATATATTGGTCTGAGCTTTGAGCACTGTCATTATCATGACATCACCTTAATGCTTTTTCTTTTTTAACATTTTGAATACATAGCAATTGAGGTGAAGCTTGTTAGAAAATTTTCATTAAAAATCTTATTTTTTCATTAAGCAGGAAATAAATAAAATGTTAGCAGAGTAATATATTTTCATTGATATAGTAAATATGTACAGTGTTAAAAGCTTCTAAAAGTTTTGTTTTTATGGTAATTTTTTGTACTATAGGATCTCAGTTTTAAATCTTCAATTTTCTTTCCTCATTTGTGTAGGATTTTCTCAGATTCTTATGTATTGTAGCACAGTCCCTAGAAGGGTCAGGATATAACTTTAAAATAATACAAGATTGTAAGATGTAATATTAGTATGTTTCTTAGCGTTTGGATTGTAAACAGATTTCTAAACTCTTCCTGTGAAATTGACAAACTGGTATTGTTTTTTAAACTCTTAATACCTTTTGTAGTGTCAGTAACATCAATAATATTATTTTCTCCCTTTTTTCCTCATGCCCTCACGTAAAGTGACCATACTTCCCGAAATTCCAGTCCCTGTCCCGATTTTTCACAACTTGTTTTTTGATCCTGAATTTATAGCATTTGTCCCGAAAAACAGTAGTATGAGAATGTAAAAGTTTAAATGCATATATTTGTTTATGTAGTATAGATTGCAAACTGAGAATACAAGCATAATTTAAGAGACGTGTGCAATACTGGCCACATAAACAGGGAATTACCCATCCAGCATTTACTTGAGAAAAATAGCAATGGAGGAGTTCTATTTCTCTTCCCAACCACCCAGCATACACAGAATTTTTGCTCACAGCTGCAGTTGAGACTTTCACGTACAGACAAGGCTACAATTTTTAACTGATAATCAGTTCTACTGTGATTGTATATACATATATTTTTAAATTATCAATGGTACTTTACATACGTGTTCAATGATGTATTACATATGTTAGCGTCTATCATCTCCTTGCACATTATTGCACTGCATCTAAAAATAATTCTTTTGTCATTTGCTCAAATTTCATCATAGATTATATCCGTCTAAAATCATCTTTCTTTTGTCACGTTTAGATTGTAAAATTTTTACTCCATTTTGATTTTACATAAGGATTAAAATTTTTTTTAAATATCTGCCAAAATGATAACGTGTAATGGTGTTTCTGTTTGGCAATGACATCTATTTTTAATTATCAATGGTGAATTACATCCCTGTTATGTGTATCCTTTACTGCAGTTTAATTTAATTTAGTATTTATTTTTACCATTGATATTTTTAGTAATGGGTTTAAAAAAATGTACATTTAATGAAACCCTGCAGAAGGAATACCTGTTTATTGAAAAATCTTCATATAAATAGTAATAAAAATAAAATATTAAACTCTTCTTTGGCATAGTTGATCATTAAGGAATTTCTTCAAACAGGAGAAAATGGATGATAAGGAAGAAGAATTAGCTGCAGTAGAAGGTACTTTTGCATACTACTATTTGAAAATGCAGTGACAAAAGCTTGGCTACAATTTATTAACACTCAGTCTTCAATATTTTGTAAAGTTATTACAACAACTGAAAATCAGACTGTGTCTATATTTGATGTAATTGCTTCAACAGATGCTCTGAAAGCTTCAGTATTGAACAAGATAGAAGGAAACTTTATTCCAATAAATGTTATAAAAACTCTTGAAAAACCTGAAGAGAATGAAGACGTGTCACAATACAAAGTTATTGAATTTCGAGAAGCTATCGTTTCATTTTATCAGACTGCTCTTACTTATTTGGATTCTTTTATAAGGCTGCTTTTACTTATTTTACAGAGATAGACAAAACAAAAACAAAACAAAAACAAAAAAAAAAAAAAAAAAAAAAAAAAAACTATTTCAGAAAGGAAATGTACAGCTGGATTATATTAAACGAAATCCCTTCTTTAGAGTTTTTCTTCAGTATTCCTGCTACTAATGCTGTAACGGAGCGAGTGTTTAGCATTATGAACAGTTTCTGGACTAGTGATAAGAAACAGCTTAAAGTGGACACTATGTCTAGTATATTAATCACCAAAATAAATTTTGATAAAATTGCATGGACTTTTATAAGAAAATCAAAAAAGAAAGCAATGTTCTAAGAAATATTCATACTTAAAAAAAATATATAAAGCTACTTCATCAAAATAATTTAGAAGGGTTACAAATTTATTATTTTGTTTAAAAATTAATACTGCATTTTGATTTAATCTTTATTTATTAAAAATTATATTCATCATTATTAAAAAATACAATTTACATATTTTGATTTATATATATGTATATACAGTACAAAGTCCGTAATCCGGACTCGCCGGGACTTCGGCGATTCCGGATTAGGGGTTTTTCCAGATTATAGATCATCAATTTTAATCTGGTAAGATGGCATGCAGAAATTATACAATTAAAAATATGAAACCGTAGTTTATGAAATAAAGAGCAATTATGATCTAAAGGGTATCAAAATTTACAAAAAAAAAAAAAAAAAAAAAAAAAAAAAAAAAAAAAAAGAAGCATAATATTTATTTGTTTACTTTGTTAAACATTTTTTTTCAATGCAAGTTTAACAACTTGCATTGTTCTTTTGTGCTAAACGCACATGCGTGTAAAGCATAAAAAAAAAAAGTTTTTGTGGCTTTGAGGTCCGGATTATAGATTGTTCTGGATAATGGACGTCCGGTTTACGGACTTTGTACTGTATATATATATTGACCTACATATCACATTTACCACAATAACAATAAATAATTTATTAAAAAAATTATATATATATTGTCTCAAATTTTGAACATCAAAATCTGATCATCTTACCTTATGGTGCAGTTAAAAGCATACTCGTTACATATTTGAGAGGTCCAGAGATCGAGTCCCATTGAGGCATTGCATATTTTTCATGTCTTCTGCTTCAAAATAACTTACTGACTATACAAAGAAACATTATTTTCTTACAGTTTCTTAAAATATATGTAATCAATATGCTCAGGCCATCTTCCAATAATTTCATCTTCATATGTTATGTGTTGTCCATTCTTATCTTTTAGTGGCATACTCAGATTTTGTTTTCTAAACTTTCACTAAAATTCGTTTTATATTTTATGTGTAAAATGTTTCATTTTCTGCTGCAAATTTGAGTAAAATCTCGATCTCAACTGATACATCTTTCGGCTTTGGCAAATTATCACCTACAACATTATTATCAATGCATTCCTTACCGCCCACAATGTTTGGCTCTGAGAAAATTACTACTAAATCTATTTCACCAGGACCATCATCATCTGACTAAAACATCATGTTGATCTAACTCCTTCATAAATTATAATGCTTCATTCAACTGTAAAAACTATAATGAGTGTAGGATATTTGTTCTTTTCAAACAGTTGTTTTCTGGAATCTGTAAAAGAAACACCACTCTCTATGAAAATCTGTAGATTCATAAAAAACACTACTTTGATGTTACTTTTTTGCAGCATTTTAAAAAATGCGTATTTATGGAAACGAAGTCAAATTAATAACCTTACTTTTCGACAGTATTTATACATTTTAATGTTTTTGGAAGATAGTCATGTCTTCCTAAAATTATTTGATTGGTTGCACCCTCTTAGATCTATTCAAAATTAAAAGAGAAAACTTTGCAAAAACGTACCAAAATGATCATTTATTTTTATAAAAAAAATAATGTGAGAGAAACAATTTTTTTCCCCCAAAACCAATGATATTTTATCTACAATATATAAAATAAGTTGAGGGGTGGGGGAAAACTGTACAGAAGGAGGAAAAAATGTTTTGACTAATGTTGTGAAAAGGCAATGTTAGTCATTAATGCGTTAATTTTTTATCAAAATCGTTCTAAAAATGTGTAAACACCCTCAGTATTTTGCAATTAAGTTCTCTCTTTTTTAAGTTTTTCTTATTTACCTGATTTTTCACTGTCCCTGTGCCAATTTTTATCTAATTTATGTGTATATGCAAATTATTTTTCTTTCTTTTTTTTAATAACTAGAATTTTGCTTGCTGTCTTTCATTAACTACAAATACATTTCAATATTCCTCCACTTTTTTTTTTCTTTTTATTGTTTGTTCCTCTTCAGATTTATGAGTAAATAAATAGACATAGTTAAAAATTTAAGATCTCCATTAAATTTTTAGTTGAGAATTATTGGAATTAAGCTTTATTCATTAGCTTTTATTTGTTTTTCTTTCTTCCAATTGTTTTATAAGACTTTCTGGAAACATAAATGTAATAAATTTATTGACAGACTTACCAGTAATTAAATGTTGTGCTACAGAATGATGAATTAAGGGTTTTCAGAATTTTAGCTTTATTTATGCTTTTACCAAATAATGGTAACTAAAAAATATGTCTCCTTTTTGTCTACCAGTTGATGCAATCTACAAGGTGTGTCTGAAAAGTTCGGTGATTGGTCTCATAATTAAAAAACTGTGCCGGTTAGGATCTTGCACTCACACAGACGCAGTGAGAGAAATGCCATCTAGAGCCATCTAAAGGCCATTTTACGACAGATAAGAGGAAGCGCACACTATGAGCGGCTTAACGCAGTCAGTGGGAGAAAGATTGTCAGTGTGACATGGAGCAACGAATAAACATAAAGTTTTGCTTCAAGTTAGGCAAAACGGCGACGGAGACACATAATATGTTAGTGAAAGTTTACGGTCAGGAAGCAGTGAGTAAAAAGTGTGTTTATGAGTGGTTTAAATGCTTTACAGATGAAAAGGAGGATGTCAAAGATAAGCCGCGGTCAGGACACCCTACAACAAGCACAACTCCAGACAATGTGGAATGAGTTCGACGGATGCTTGCAGCAGATCGACGACTATCTTTAAGAATGATAG